CAACGAGATCGCATTTATTTCCAATTTATTCAGCTTGAATATCAAACACTTTCAAGAGTCGCTCTTTTACGAGCTTTAAGCATTTTCCTCATTTGAATAAGGCAATATTACGAGAAGTGATTCCAGAGATGAGATACATTCAGCTGCGAGCTACGCGGACAGAGCGCAGCTCGAATAGATTATGTGAAACAGGATTACTACGAACGAACAGAGCCAAGAGTGCCGTAATGTATCGAGTGAGTCGCATAATTGGGCAAAAAGAAATGATTCGAGTGATTTGACTTAAGTGGAATCTTGAAAAAATTTTTTTTCACTAAAGTTAAAAGGATTACGTAACGGTATGAATAAGCGATTGTTTGTGCAAAACGCATTTGAGAACACTGTGAACGCAGATTGAAATGCATTGAAATAGGCAGGAATGACTTGCGGCAATCTTCAAGAGTACACCACACAGCTGTCCATCCTGAAGCAATAACTCAACGAACGACTCGACTATTGCTCTATTTATGAAGTACAACGCGGGCGGCGCCCTCTCCTGTTCAGTGTTTATCGGAAAACACAATGGAATTATTCAAGCGATGTTAGTAGTTATCATCACCAGCATAATGACCACTATAAAGCACTTCAGGCTGTTATCTACAGCCATAGGCATAAAGGAGTTGTTGCCAGTTGGCTGAATCAACCACTTTATTGCTTTACAGCTGGAGCGCTGTTCTGAGGTGCTGCAAAATTTAGTGGTTGGTGCTACATCACTGCAAGTCAATGATAAATCCATTGTTTTGCATTAAAATGCACCAGATATTCTCTTGACCTCAGCGAGGCAATATGCTCAATGGAAAAGATCAGTTACGCAACAGACATTATTTTACGATGATCTTCCATGAATGGCAATCTTCTCGAAGCTCTTGATATCCACGATATCTGTAGCCGAAGGTATCGAATTAAACCTCAGGTACAATGAAGTAGTGAGATTATTCAAAGATTGATGCACTGCTCATCATAGGTTAGAAGAAAATTTCTGCATGCACTTTTCATGTAGCGATTCGAGCTGGCCTATTGCAGCCGCGTTAGTCCTATTCAGCCAGTTGTACGTGATGAATTATTATGTTGAACGGAAATAATAATTGATCATTGCAGCAGTAGCTGAATGGTTTAGAAAAAGCAAATGCAAGAAATTTTAATTAAGTGCAAGAGCAATTCGACGTAATAGATGAATTCAAAAGTTGTTCTCAAGTTCAGATAATGCAATCAGAATGAATACATCACACATAAAGAGAATAATAATACGAAGAAAAACTAGTAATTCAAGTAGGGTTAGTATTGATAGTAAGGGTGCGGGAAATGTGAAATGAAAATGGCACGATTTGAGTATCGGTCATTGAGTAAACACAGCACAGGTAAAATACGAGCACAAATATGTCAACTGTACTGATGCGAGCGATCTTTCAAGAGACAAACGTACATTTATAAATGAGTGATATTTAATGAATGGAATGAAACAACTCGAAAGTCATGATGCTTGCATGTCATGTGTCTATGATGGAACATTTGACGATTTTGCTAANGTAATATAAAGTGAAATCAATGCTGAGATATCATCACATCCCAAGTCAAAATCATAAAATATGTTCATATTGCAAGTCTTCCGAAGTTCTGAGCAAAATTTATCATAGTTTCTTCTTCATCGTTGAGAATTCGCGTAGGATTTGGCCATCCACGTAATAAGACAACTTTGAGCGCACTTCTGCCAGTGCCCAATTCATGACTAAATTCCCATTTGGTGCCGTCAAAACACAACACCTCAGAAGACGGTATTGTGCAGTAGCCACCAATTGCATAAATTTTAGAACCCAATTTACACATATCGAAATTTGATCTGGAATGATCGCTGTTGACAGAGTTCATAGCAGCATCATGCTGTCTCAATTTACTTGGTATACGCATTGAAGCGCATTTCGGATATTTGAACACCGCAAATAAAACTTAAGTTTTGTAAGTGAATGGCGAGGATTTTGTCGAAGAGATGTATCGGTACGCTCGGATCAGCTTTAGAGGCGCCCATACAACCTTCGGTGTCTTGATTGACTTGTTTTAATGGACGTGAGAGGTAATGAAGATGTCGTAGGTGAAAAGGAAGATAGAATGAAATCAATTGCTTGCAATAGAAAATTGAGACCTTGCACACGGCATTGAGGGCATCTGAAATGTGTGTCCACTACCCAGGCGTAGCATTTCGACACTGTCAAGTCGAACTGTACCGTCGTATCCACCAGCCAACAACAAATAATTCTCGGTTGCTAGACAAGCATGTCCTGAAATGATCACTAAGTTAGTTCAGTGAGCAAGAATACCCTCTGCTAATTGAAACCTCTCTTAGGGATCACACAGCATCAACACTAGATAATGGGCTGGCTAGCAAGGAGTTGCACTGTCAAAATCTTGTCGTACCCACCTGATCGAGGTGTATTCATAACGGCGATTTCAATCCAAACATCCTTTTCTGGAATGTACATTTCCACTGACTGCAAGATCGTGGTACCCGTATATCCACCGGCAACATACACTCTCCCTGCCATTGAAGCTGCCGCTGCATCCGAGCGCTTTTCATTCATCTCTCTACAACACAGCAATCAATTCATATGACTGAAAATTGTTTCACACAACCAAGCAAACGACTTACTAGAAAACTGTTATATTGCTTACTTATAAGAAATTCTACTCAGTTGAGACTACTGAAACCTATATTTCATACGCTACAGTACTTATAAAATTTTCCGATTGTACAGCGTTGTTCTACAATGGAGTACTTCACAAATACACCGCAAATGAACAGCGGCACGCTGAGCTATCGTTGGTTTTGATGATATGCGAAGATAGAAACAGATCTGACGCGATAAGAGTCCATTGATTCTTCTCCGGATCGTACATTTCAGCGCTTCGAAGCCTCGTATACCCATCTGAGCCACCGACAGCGATGATTTTACCATTCAACTCGCACGCTGCTATGTAACACCTGAAACAAATTTCTATGAAGCGATAAAATTAATTCTCGTTATTGAAATGAATTTTTGCCGGAGAAGATTAAATATCAAAATTGGAATTTTATGCAGACGGAAGGTTCCTTGCGCTAACATCATTAGCTGTGCAGAAGGGTGTCAAAGAAGAGCCAATATGATAGTGATGGTAATAGAGAGTTGTAATTCTGTGATGAGTTGTAAGTGCTAATTAAAAATTAAGCAAACAACGGCAAAGAAACAACAGCTAACAATGAGCTTTTCTCATTGAAATTTACAAAACCTTGGATCAATTCGGAAAAGACGACCTAGAAACTCAAAAAAAAAAAACCATATTGTGATGAATCCGTCTACTTGGTTCATAGAAATTTAGTGTATTGAAAGTTGTTGTATCAAAAACGGTGGCTTCATTGAGCACAACAAAATACTAAAGAAACATATCTTGCATAGTGCATCGGTGCCAATTCGCTCCATTCACGTTTCTCTCCATCATAACATCGCACCGTATTGAAGCAATCAGAACCGTCGGATCCTCCCAATAAATATAACTTCTGGAATGTTTTTGCATTGCCAAAGTATTTTGCTTACAACACAACAACTTCAGACAAAGATCATCAAACCACATTTTGCGATTGCAACATTCGATGTAATCCATTAGAGCTCAATTCTTTAGCCGTATCACCAAATCACATGCAAGATGACATAGTCCTGATGTGCTAATTCAGCATTGCATGGTGAGCGCAGAGTTCATAGGAGACAGTGAAAATTGTTTTGTGAATACCTGATCAATAACAACTATGGCATGATAAGATGCTTTGCGTTGATCTTCCATTGACGGAACGCGTTTCCATTTCCGTTGCGCAATGTCAAGCACTTCGATACGACTCGATGGTCCTGACCATTCCCATCCACAGACAGCCAATATCAAGTCACGGGCCACACGCGTTTGATACGTTCGATTATAATCCACTGGCGAGCTTGGACTGGTTATGAATTTCATTTGCACTAGTTCTTCGTTTAATTCACGTTTCTAGAATTCACTTATTCGTAGAAATGTTATATGGGCGATATTGGTTCCCTTTCAACCTGTTATGAGTCTGAGATAAAGTTTCGGAATTGATTGAATGTTTTTGCGATGAGGGCGATTGATTCGGCAGCAAATGATCTCCAATTTGTTCTAATGGTAGTGGAGATAAAAACGTTATTGATCACAGACTTCGTCTTCGTTCAATAGATTCCATCGAAGACATCTGAACAGAGTTTGCCAATGTATTGTTCGTGTTTTTCGATCCACCAGAATCCAGTTTTTGATTAATTTCCAAATATCCATCTAAAATCGACGAGAGCATCAAGAAGCACTCAAATTTTGCATGCATTCAGACGAGTTGGAGAACTAAAATGCATCACAGGAAACGCTCGCATAGCTCATGGAGATGAGAACTTAGCTTCATCTTTCGGTGTTTCTTCAGAACGAATAAATCACTAAATGCACAAAAATTCTCTCCACGTACCTCTTCGGTAATATTCAACATATCAGAATTGAGGATTTCACACAAATTTGTCACATCCAAACGTAGGAATTCCGTATTTGTTTTGCTACTCACTGCATCGTTAATATTGTACAGCAGATATTCAAATACCTGAAGGAAGTGTTGTAGATAGCCTGTAGATAAATTTTTGTTGATGTTTATGAGATAAATATTAATCAACGCGCTAAATGACACCTTCGTTAGTTGTTGGGATTGGGAATTTTTGCACATGAGCCATACGGATACACAGTTCTCCTGCTTAATGCCACTGATAAATTTACTGATTATATAATTTTCAATTTCTTTTAACTTCCATATTCGACTCTGCAACATCGACTTCATTAGTTGTCATCATAGGTTGCAATAAACAACGGTAAAATTCGTGTCGATCATTTGCGTCCAAATATAATACTTGCGATAAACGGGCACTGCGCGGGAATGATTATGATTTTTCGCAACTCGAGATAATGCTTGAACAAATTTCGCTTAATGATGGACGTTGTAGATTACGCTTAGGTTACTTACCAAGTAGTTTTGACCAGAAATTCAAACAGGAAGTAAGTCTGAAGTATTGCTAACCTGTTCCAGTATGGTTTCGAGTCGAAGCCAATCGTCAGTTTCTATTGAGCCATATTGTAAGAAATGCAAAATGTCTTTCAGCTGAAACACCTCACAACATCACAAAGTGAACATTTCACATTAATTTATGCATCATGGAAGGAAGCCAGTACGAAGCTCAGGCAGACTGGCTAGTTCGTCCGTTGGAGTTGCACAGTTCAATGATAATAACTTGAAATTGCGATCCTCAGAGTCCGATTAAGGAACGGAACATTGGATTCTACCAATCACATTCTGCTTCTCACGCATTTGTGCCAACAAAAACTGATAATAGGATTGCGAAACGTTCTCAGTAATGGATCAATCATGATTTTCTTCATGTAAACACAAGAAGAGTGCATTTGCTCACATCCGAGAATCTTTTATTGAGATCTCGGAAAAAACTCACAGTTTCATAATCGGCAGTTGTTTTCAATGTCCACCCATCACTTTTTTCATTGTTACTTCGGATGTACGGCACAAGAGAGGCACACTGATGCGTTATCAGTCTTTTGCTTATGCTTAACCTGAATCTTAGCGTTATTATCAACATAATCGCAATTGGCTCTTTTCCTCCTATTTCCGTACCGACTACATTTGCAATACCCAGCAATTAGCATTCAGCAACCGCTGCGCAAACCAAGGAACCCAGCTGTAATGCTTAAGCAAAATAAATTAAAGTAGATGGACTAAAGAAGTCAATCTCGAGCTCATCGACGATCAGGAAAACGTCAATGATATACGTGAAAATGTCACTTCGATTTCAATCAACGCAGAAGCGATGAGCTGCAGATAGATGAGATGACCAAAACGCTATAAAATTATGCTATGAGCCAAGTTATGACTTACTCGGCATGATTACTTGCAGAGACGGTACAGCAATCAAGTTGTGCATTCAGCTGAGGATTTTCGTCGACTCGATCCGATACGGCTGCATCGTAACTCATATCGCCATTAATATAAGCGCTTGCCACCATCCGATCGCTCAGCGCAAAACTGTTTTAGTTAAAATGGCTTCCGTTTGAAATCTTCTACTTATATGCTTGTCTGAGATGGCATATTCGAGTAAATTTGCAATAACTTCTCTGCACTTTTCGAAACAATGCAAATTTGTCAAACTCTTGCTTTATTGTCATTTCGCATTTGTTACGTGATGAATCTCGACTTTTTCGGAAACAGTGGTGGGAATTTTTGCACTACTTTTTGTGCATAAGACACATCCAGGAATAGAAAAACGAACGAATTCAACTCGGCCGTAGAAACGCTAAAAAATGCGTATTGTCATAGTTGTAGTGGTGGGATGTGGTTGCTAAGGATTATAATGTGCTATTCAGTCGTTAATAGAGTTGTCTGTCAAGGTGGAAAACGGCACTTCCCTATCGACTATTATGTTGCAAGCAAGAGGCAAAATTTGACGTTGCTGAATGAAGAGGAATGCAACAGCTATACAAAACAATGCATAAAGGTACCATATTACAGTCTCTCACAATCAGCATTCTTAAGTGAATGAATGAATAGTCGTGTTCTTGAACTGCTTCAGTGCTGAGCCTTTCGATTTAATCTCTTTTCCGCTAAACTTATTTAATGAAGCAGCGAAAAATTTCCGAAATACGAGAAATCAACAATCACATTCGAATTTTTTGGCTACACCTCATAATTATTCATCTTCATTTGATCAGTTTCATCGGTTTGGCCTCTTATATGGAGCAATCCATTTCAGTACCGCCAGTGTTATCCGGAATGTCGTTTGCCAATCGATGAGGATGGTCATGCGTATAATCCGTGCCGTGTCTTCGTAGAGCCATGTTTTGGAATACCCTTGAGTGAGTACAATCGTATCAAGCGTTTTGAATCTGATGAAGATTTTTGAGGTCTTCCGCTCGAGAAATGTGAAATGGATGCATATAATCAAATTAATTGCAAATAATATCACATTTGCAATCAACTATTTCAATTATCGTTCGCATTGCAAATAATTAGATTGATGGTGTGCTCTACGTTGCAACCTCGGATTTGTATCACGTATCAACAATGTTCTTCGATTCAATCATATTCATTCACCTTATATTCATGTCAGTGTAAATTACTTGAAACAGTGTCCAGCCATATCCATGTTGAACCCGTAATTCTGTGTTCACTCCGTGCAATTGTTGCAGTTCATAATTTCCTATGAATCTGCTATGAAGTTTTTTTTTTCAAATCAATCTGTGCTCTAATCTGTTGCCATCATCAACAGTGGTTTCGGATCAATTAAAGACTATGATTGAATGCTCGAAGGAATTTTTCTTTGTTCTTCGTATGTAATTCAAAACCGTCGCCACCGTAGCATATGTTGTGTGTGTGTGTTAGGAACATGTTGTGTGCGAGACTTCATATAGTACCTGCGAATGCATTCCTTATTCCGTTACTCTGAATTTGCTCCAATTTCATACGAACTAGCATTCAGTCATAAAAACATTGTGTATGTGTTGCTTCAATTCATTTTCTATTTATTGTGGTTGAAAAATTTAAAAGAGTTGTTGAAATATGCTGACATAATAAGAAAATGGTTTATCGTTGAATGCTGCTAATAACACAAAACCATTGAAAGATCTTAGTTTGGTGAGCTGAATCTGAAATGAGATGGGTTTGCAGGAAAGAAATGTTCTGATTCCTCGCTTATTGGTACTTCTTCATGAATTCAGCGTGGAATGGCTTGAATCGTTCGAGCATCTCCTTCATCAAATCCGTCTGGGGCAAAATTGTCGTCCTGTAATCGACAAAGTTGTTACTTCCAAGTCCAAAAGCCGCATTTCTGCATCAAATCGGAAGCGTTGCATTTCCTTTACAATATGTATTCAGACACCTTTTCACCATTTCAAATGGCCAGCGATCCATATCGTTACATTTGGGTCGAAGCCGGAAGGTGACATTTCAAAATGAACGTGATGGAAGAAGAAGTGTTGCATACCTGAAGTGATAGGTACCCTCTTTCTGTCCGAATCCACTACCTGGTACAGTGCAAATACCGGTCGCCTCGAGCAGCTGCATTCCGTAGAAGAAGTCAGGCTCAACACCTTGCCTCTTCGCCTCTTCAATGGCCTTCTTTGGCATATTAATCTTCGGTAAGGCATACATGGCGCCCTGCACAGGATTGCATTGCAGACCCTCCAGTGATCCGTATGCTTCCTTCACCAATCTGGCTCTTTCCTTCATTGATTGCAGAATACCGGTCTTCTCCTGGAAACACCTCACGTCATAGCTATTTTAATTTTGAATTTGCTGCACATTTCTTTCGCTATGGATCTGTTAATGAGTTCTTACTATGGACATCACGACACGTACCTTGTACCACAGGTCGTAGGAAGGCTCGCCTGGTTTTGGTGGGTTGACAGCGGAATCAAGAGCAGCCTGAAATTTTTGTTCATTTCTCATCAATATTCCAGTTGCACGCATCATTTTATCGTAGCGTGAAGCGATTCGTTGAATGGTGCGTGATGCATGTCTATTCATTGGTATACTCTTGCGAGTTCGAATGCGAGCTACTATGATGAATGTTTTGTGTTGATTACCCACATGAGGTGCAAGATGATTTGCTAATTTAGTTAGGTTCAACATCGATTGATGCATGAGAGATATGCTCGATGGATCGATTAGTTTCCAATGATTTCTTCGGTTCAATCGTTAATTCTGTAGTAATTCTCGAAAAACAAACCGATATACTGCTTTGGAAATGGCTAACCTGGCCAAGAGCAGATGCGCATAATTTTGCGGAGATCATCTTGTTAAACATTTTGAGAACTTCTGGATCGATGTTCAGGAACTCGATGTATCCAGCACGTAGACCACATTCGCCCATGTATCCCTTTGATACCGAATAGAACGATACCAACTCCTGGCTGCAATTACGCTGTTTTTATCGATTTGCGGCAACAGCATCAGTTTGCAAAAAGTAACCGTTAGCCTTCCCGAATTCCTGTTGTGCTCATAAATTTCCTAGAGAAGAGCAAAGAGTGATTAGTGTATCGTTAACTTACTCCTTGTATTCACCACCCATATCAAGCATCGTCTTCTTGAAACTGTAGAATTTGGACTTCTCGTCAAAGATGTTGTCTTGATATACCTGAAAATACTCGCTTTTCTTGAAAATTTACTTCCAGTATCGGATCGTGACAGTTGAAAATAGGATTCAGCGAAAATTTGGTCGAAATCTTTTTCAACGAGAGAGCATCGCTCTGGAAATCGCAAAAATGTAGTCGATGAAAGTATAGAATCATGACATTTCAGGTTATGATTTAGAAGTATCAAAAGTTGTTTGCCTCATCAGCGAGGATGACCAAATGGTTCTTATGGGCGAATCGAATAATTTCTTCGATGTTCTTCCTTGTGAGCACCTGACCTGAAAATCCTTTTGCTCACAACGACTCGTCGTGAATCTCTTTGCTCAAGTATCGCCCTCGTTATTTAACAGCTATTAGCTTTCCAGAAATAGGCAATGCAATGAGCAAAAATATGCAACAGTGCAATGAACAAACCAGCAGGGTTGCCAGGATTGATTACGCAGATCGCCCTTGTGTCATACTGCGATTTAGCCTCATTCAAAGCCCGTTCACATTCCTCAATGTTCAGTCCCCACATGTTCTCTTCGTCGAGGTAATATCGTACCTGAATTGAATAACTGCTTATATTGAAGTGAAGTTCGCCGAAATGTGAAAATTCTCAAAATGAATCAAGCGATCACCTGTCCAAGACCGAATTCGTCCAGTGTTGCTGAGTAGAGTGGATATTGAGGGATTGGGATCATTATTCCAACCTTGCGGCCATTCTGGTTGTTCACGAACAGTTTCAGCACGTTCTGAAACGAACCAAACTTGATGACCTCGAACGTCATAAACATCGGCTGTCAATCGAACGCATACTTCGTACTTTGAAACACTTACTGCTAACTATCGTACTGAGATTGAGAGCGAAACGCTTTTCTTGCTGCTTACCGAGTTGAAAACACCTAATTGCTTTGATCATTTAACTTTTAAACAGATATCTTTTTGATCACCAATGAATTCAGTTAAAAATCTGTTTTCTGTATGTTTTACCATTAGAATAACACACCCTGATTCCCTCAGTTGTACCGCCTGAAATGACGATATTCTCATAGTCTGCTGGAATGCCATCTCTACGAGTGATGTACTCGGCGCAATGTTTTCGGATGCATTCAATACCAGCGCTTGGCCTAAAATCTAATCGTAGAGCTGCTGACTGAACACCATTGAGCGATCATTACTTTATGGAAGTCTTGGTGCAGTCCATAGTTAAAATTAGATGTTTAGCCGTCTGTAGCAAATAACACAACATATTTAGACGTTCGAAATTCGTGCAGTGAATATAAGTGAGAATTTCGTCCTCAAAAAACTATCTAAAAACTCAGAAAAGTCTGCTGATTATAAAAGCGAAAGCTTGAATACTCACGTGTATGCACCAACACTGTGGCCACCACAATCGTGGAGAATTTCCTCAGCGTGTCGTTTCACATCCTCTGGCATAGCCATCGATTGGAGAAGAGGTGGATACGCACAGCATGCCAATACCTGAAAATCTTTCCTCCAGATAGCACTGATTCAGGTGCCTAACGTGCGCTTTTCATTCGTGTCGGATTGAATGCATAACAGTCATGATCAATGGTAGTGAGCAGTTTCGATCAGTGACTTCTCACCGAAGAAACATGTATTCGCGTTATGAGCTGTCTTCCAAGAAGTTGCAATGTGTTAAGCATTGTGTACTTTATTAGGCACTTCTTCGATCAAGCGGATTGTGAGTGAAATGCTGAAACAGCTCAATGAGGTTCAGTGTTCTGACCTGTCTGATGAAAGTGATTGGTTTTTGACCCATATCGTGAGCATCACCGATGTTTGCTTTCACTACACTATTGAATGGCTTCTTTGTACCCTGAAATTTGAACTGTGATCAATTTGACAAATATGTTGATAGCTGCTATTCTCAATAGCGGTGGTCATAACCGAAACGCACCAGAAATGATCATCTCCTGAAGCTTTGATACCTCGGGAACTTATTCGATTCCTCGTTCGAAATGAGTTCAATTAGGCAAAATTGAATGATGCTCTGAAAGGTTGCTTGCCTTTGCGAGGTCTTTCTCAATTTGCGCACCACGAATAACGATAGGGCCACGAACTGCGAATTCCATTGTTTTAACGTTTGGGTTCATGTTGTCTATGGTCAACGACTTTTTCGCACCCGACAAAGCGGTGGCCGTTGAGATACAACGATTCGAACCACGGAGAAGTTGGAAAACACTTGAGGGCACTCTCATTGTTTGATACCTGAAATCGAATATGCGCCTCTAGAAAACCATTCAATTCAATTCAGATGCAAATCTCTTCACGTTTTCAGCTCGTTTTCGGATATGTTGATGAAACGAATGCAATAAATTCGTTCGTATCCTCACGAATTTCCATATAACCAATCGCGGAAGGTTCTGTCCCACTATTTCTTCAATTTTTGATAAATTAAATTTATTTCACTTCTTCTACCCACTCTCCCTCACAGCTTACTCGGAATTTATTTTTCGCTAACCCTCAGCGTTAACTTAGTAGTCGGGCATCTTACAAGCTCATTTGATTGTTGGAACTCAAAAAATTATTGAGTAATAATTCCACAGGTTTGAGAAGCAGGCAGAAAACATGAACAACTGAACAGAACAGATTGTTCACGAGCCAGACCATAGTCTTACTGTTCGCTCGACCTTGACAAAATTCTAATGCACTGTTTGTTTCCTGTTGGATAAAGCTGATTTGACTGAAGAAAACGTTCGAATACTTACAAAGCCCATTTGATCTTTTCCACTGCATTATTGACTAAGACTTGGGCTGATCGACTGGAAAACAATTAAGTTTGAATACTCCTGTCATCCTATTATTTCACAATGCAACCATCCAAGATGGGCTTTCGTGAAGTTCCTAATCAGCCAGTTTAGTAGTGTCAGGTTCCTTATTTCTTACAGTAACGTTTCAACCACTTAGTTCCTACAGTAAACAATTCAACTAATGATTACTGATGCAAACTCGTCAAGACGAATGACCTGGTGCACTTTTGGGAGGGATGAGTTGATGAAATTGATGAAGAATATGGATACGGACAAGGCTGGAATGGCTTCAAAAATGTAAAATGATGGAAGGCGTTCATTTAATGGCTATAAATAATCAACGACAAGATGAAACTGTTTGCAAACATGAATTGATAATGAACTGTACTGTCTGGAGAGGAATTTTTGTTGCGATACAGACCATTGGGGAACACTTCAATTAGTGATTTAAGTTAGATATCATCTTATCTAATACACCAACGTGCACATTTTCAATTGTTGATACTTTGCAGTTTTTTCTAACTGTAATATTCGTTATCACATTGAAATGAAACCAATTATCGTTAATTTCTTTGGATGGGAAAATTTTTGAGCATCGAAGAGCAATAAGCCGTCCGATTGGTTTATCGCTTCAACCAATTTTTTAGTGACACTGTATCCTAGATGCCAGAATGCTTGAAACGTTGAGTCCAAAGTCTGATGAAGCATTGAGAATTAGCAATTGCAAAACTCCTCCGCTATATTTTACGACTGTTATCAACCCGTTCTGATACGCTCGCCTTCTGAACTCGATTCTAAATGGGTGAATATGGACGATAAGCCACTTGATCTGCTTTCACTAATCCATGTGCACGGTCATCATTAATGAACTGTGATGTGTGTGTTTCAACAAACTAAGTGATAATCGCTGATGTTTTTTCTAAGGCAATCTCTAGCAGAGAACTTTCTCCATACGGTACTATTTGTGATCATTTTCGAATTAAACGTTGTGTATTCATGATTTGTACTCTGCTCAAAACTGAAATCCGATCAAGAAACGGTCGATGCGAAAGTTTTATGTGCAATCAAGGTAAAAAACTGAGAGTCTTATCACTGTGACGCTGTCGCCATCGTTGTGCTTAAACGCTCAAAAAAATGACGGGCAACTTCAAAATTCACAAATCAACAGCTCTTTGCTCGCAATTTTATACAGTGTTTGATTTCAATGCAAACAGACAACATTGTACGGCATAACATGGAAAAAGATACTGAAATGTGCGTCCATTCCTGCAACATAATAATGCCGTGTTCTTTGATGCTGTTTTGGATTCCGGGTTCAGAATGGGTTGAGGAGCATCCCGAAAACCAGGTTAATGACTATAATGGAGTAAAATTGGCACGAAAACAGTAAAAAATCGCATGAACAGATATTCTCTTGCGATTAATTGGGTTGCAGCCACAACACTGTTTCCCTTGGTTAATATCTCGTTTCAGCAGATTGTCAAAAATATCGATCTTACCGGGTTTCGGCGAGTTCCACTTTTGTTTGGAACAATTCACGCTTGACATTTGCAAGTTCCTCCTTGAGTTTCGCATTTTCCGCGTCAAGAGCAGCCCGATCCTCATCGGTTGCCTGCTGACAATCAACAGCCATGTTAGTAGCGTTACGATCAGTAACGAGGGCGACCAATTAGTGAACGATCAAATCAATGAAATGGATATCACATTAATTTTGATGAGTTTTCCAAAATCCGTGCGAGCATTTATTCAAAAATATCAACTCATGCCTTCAATTTGCCCAATTATGGGCTTGCATGCTGTTAATAAATTCATTCAGTAAAGGAACTCCACAGTCATTTGCGCATTTGCTTATTCGTTCACTTGCCTACTTGCTTAATCGAACGTTTATTGATAAATTGATAAGTGATTAGTTAGCTCACATATGATCAAACGAACTCTCCATAATCATTCGGGAGATTGTGATGTTCTTCAATGCCTCCGTCTTCACTCATTTTTTCCGTTGAGCCACTTCTTCAACTTATGCGGTATCATACAGTGATTAGGGACATGAATGGAGATATTGCTCAAATCATCATTCATTCATAGTCAACTTTTTAAACCAAGTCAACGGAATCTTCATTTGAACTACTCAGAAAAATCACCGAAAAATTAAATTCACGAAATGCCAATGTTCTTTCATATGAACCCAAATGCTTTTCTCTGATGTAGCATTTATGATGGTATCATAAAACGTATAGGTTTAGAAGTTAAGAGCCAAATTGCGAAATTTCATAGTTGATTGTCACATTTGATGATTGACTATTGATCTTGGCTGTGCTGATTTAGAAAAAAAACCAGCAAATACTCAACAACGTTCACGTATTCATTTCATTGCTATTGATAAGTGAAAGCTCTCCTCGTGTACGTGATGAAGCTATGACTATTAATTTTATCAAATGTAAGCTGAAGACCATTTTTTGTTGTGAAATACGAGCATGAAATGAACGACGAGCTGTCATTTTAATTTAATAAGTGCATTGTGAATGAATGCGATCTTTTTTTGGGTGTTTAATGAGATTAATTGCTAGCAATAAAGTGGTGAAATGCACATTGACTTTGCTTTCAGTCAACAATGTTTGTCTTGAACATTTTTTGATGAATACGTTAAAAATGACAAATATTTTTACGCGACAAAAACGCAAAATTTGTGCTCACAAGTAAATTTCAACGTTGCAAATTAATAGCAAAGAAATGCAATGCAACTCGACTGAACATTCAGCAAACGTTCGCCTTGAGTTCGATGAATAGAGCAGGAGCGGTGAAGCAGCTTATTGTTAGCCGGATGACACAGTGGAGGTTTTGATATAGACACACAGAATTATGACTGACATTTTGGAAGTGTCATCAGAGGGGCGCATGTTCGCTGAGTGTTTATAGCGTCTTCAAAAGTGAGCATAGCTGTACATGCAACGGCTATAAAAGGCTGTTTATTCCATAATTCAAATTGTTCTTGATATTTGTGCGAGTGAAGTGAATTCTATAACTTGCTATCACATTACAGGTTGAAACTGTGGCATGTTACCTGGACGCATGACTTGCACGACATCCGTTTCGAATTGATGAAGTAGTGCGAAATTCTTATCTGGTTATCACATGCTACTGTATAAGCTCGGTTCGCTCAACATTGATGCGATGAACAGTTTTTATCATGTTTTAATTACTCGGCTCCATTCAATTCGAATCCTACTTCATGAGTGTCTAAAATTTCCCTAATCATGCGGTCGCTAATATGTACATGATTGTATCATCAAACAACAAGCATTTATAAATCAACAATTCAAAAACCAATGCGGTGCATTTTGAAATAAAGTGTAGAATGTTTGCTGGTGAAGTATGCATCGTGTTCAATATCAATATGTCACTTATCAGTGGCATTCGAATGTTGTTTGTCTCTATGTGCAAAACACAATAATACCAATAAAATCATAAACCACAGTAATGCTAAGCACGCTTTCGCAATGAGCCAAAATCATTAATTCATAATCACGTAATAAATCTTTGATGCGTAACCAATAATCAGCATAAAATAATTCTCATCAAAAAATCATATATACACAGCCAAAGTAATGCAGTCTGTCAGCGGTAATTCGTGGATATCGCTACTGACCATCCTGCAGACATTTTAGCAAGGTAGGATTAAAGAAGTAATAACATCGCTCATTTCGACTAAGTAGAACACAATGATGTACCCAGTTAAGAAAGACAATTTCCATCTGAATGCACATTCGCACGGGAACCGAACTCAGCTCACCGTGATTGCGTTGCGATCAAATCATGGACGGGTTCTTGGAGAGTGATAAAATGCGAGACGATTTTGCCATATCTATCTATGCTCAGCCGAACTCCTCCAACGCTGAACGTTTCGAAATCAGTTCTTGAATTCTTCCGCATATGATAATTTTACAGCAATCTTACATTGATTTGCAAAATAATGTATTGCTGATACGACTCATCATGAAGATGCACTGGAAGTCGTAGGTGTTCGCATAGATAAAACATTGCAAACAATGCTGGCGAATTAAAGGTCATGATGAAACGGCTCAGCAATCTTGTGTTTCCGGCTTGGAAATTGAAATAGTCAGAAAATATTTGCAGAAAATATTTACAAAATTTGAGTGGGTGGTTCAGCGAATGTTTAGTGATGGTAAACATTTGCTTGGAAACATACAAAGTCGAGATTGATAACTATCATAAGCAAACAAATTGAAGCATTATTGCGCGAAGTACATTGATAAACCCATCTAAGAGCAGTAACGAGAGTGTTGATGATCGAAATAATAAATATGACGTCAACTCTGCAGCCATTATCACCTTATGTCCACTAGAACATGCTTTGTATTCGCCTTGTTCGTGATGAATATAAAGTGCCGTTGCTTTGTCATGACTCGAAATTGTAGCTTTGATAGCTTGTAACGAATTGTTAATTTGCTGTCACAAGGAAACTTTGAAAGCGTTCAATTGTGAAACGTTTTTGTTTCATGATTGAGCTCGTCGATGATGATTCTCTGCTGGCAATATTTCAGAGCTGATAGGATTCAGTAGTATTTTCCGATTGGCAGGCTATGTCGAGCATAAAATAGCCAAATTTCTGTGCACAGTTCAGAGGACATCAATGAAGCAATAACACTTCATTTGAATGTCTCTTTTCACAATTCTGTTACCAGGAACTAACTGCTGTTAACCTATTCATTACAGTTAAATAGCGATACATGTAAAACGTAGCTTCGAATCCGTTCAACGAGATAAGTCGGGTGTACGTTGGCATTGCCATAGGAGTTCTGGAATATTGAACTTCGTCAAGTTATTCTCTTTCCAGGAAATAAGAAATGCTAAGCAGTCTCGTCACTGTTTCGCTATTGCTGCATTTCGTACAAGCCCGTTGTTCACAATGTATGATTTACCATCAATTAATCGTAATTGTTCAAATTTTGAATTCAGCATTTTCATGCGTTTATGATGGAGCAACACTTTTTCAAGGGTTTTCTTTTAATGCTAAACGATTCGCAATCAACTGAATAATCATAAGCCTGATTCGTAGCGAAAGTTTATGTCGTACTTATTCTTATAATTTTACATGAATGATATTTCAAAAGATTTCTGATAGATCATGCAATTATTCGAGAGTACCAAATTGTAATCACTCCACTTTTTTTGAATTCTGAATTCGCACGCGATACGACTCATTCATTTGTTCAGTCAATCGCGATTACTCATTGTCAGATTTCAACCAAAAAACCAACTTAGATGACTGATGATCTACCCTATAGCCTTCTGATCACCGGTATGAGCTCTTTATAAATTCTTCAGCTACCATTGATGGGTCAGAAAAGTCTTGTTTTTCAGCTGAGACGCAAGGCTCTGAAGGGTATCAATACTTCCAGCACACGGGCCATTGCTACAAGCTCATGGGAGCAGTGACAAGTTTAAAAGTGGCAAACGAACATTGTGCAAAGGAAAATGCAGCTCTAGTGTCCATCCACGATCGTGAGGTGAGCTTTCGAAGCGTTTTCACAAAGCAAATACTGTAGTGCAATAGGAATCAGCACGCATTCTACTATAGTTCCAATGAAGTTTGCGGTTGAAATTACGTCCATTACAATTTTGCGGTTTCTAAAGTTTGCTGCTTGAATCAACTCTTATTTGGACCGTTGCAGAAAAGTCTTCGAATGAATTAGAGATATCAATTGTTTGATGATATGTGCATGAAAATAAGTGATAAACAACCAAGGATTAGAATTTTGCTATCCGAGAGTGCAAATTCTTCATTTTATGACACGCTAAAACGCTCACCTATCAATTCGTTATCGCAACTTTTGTTTGCATTTATTTTGAAATTGTTAGGTATCATGGGTTTCAAACGACACTCTTTCCAATCACTGATTAATAATGAAAATAAACTGAATGACTCAGCAAACCGAATTGAACAGTTTCATCAGCCTTGCGATGATGATAATTACTCAATTCATTTTTCATGTAACATAACTTGAACGACTTCTCTAGCAATAAAGAGAGAGCCGCATTTTGAACGTGCAAATTCTGAGATCGCAAATGAATCAGAAGCATGAGTAATATTCAGACAAACACGTTCGTTGCACATTTGAGCAAATCGCATCAACTGATCGGACTATTCTATCAGACGTCGGAATACGTTTGGAGCGATGGTACAGCATTCAACTTCAGCAATTGGCATTTAGGTTAAATCACCTCATTTCAACGAGTGCATTCTGGAATGGCTTAGTCACCACTGCCCGTGATCAATCAGGGTCAAATCAGAAGCACGCCAGCAAGGAGTGCTCATAAATATGACCATGAGTAGTAAACGAGCAGCTACAAATACTTTCTGCCCTGAGCATTGAGCAACTCAAAAACTTCTGCTTTCATCGTGAGCAGCAGATCAATAGCACAGACGTTCAAAACTCCCCCCACCATTGGTCGAGATGTATAAGTCCAGAACAACGAACTTTCATCATTGAGCAGTGAAAATTCTCTTATGTATTACTTCAGTGTTGTCATACAGCAATTTTCTGATGCCAGAACTGTGACTGCCTAAAACTTTAAGGTTACCCAGTGCCGCAGACTTATTTTGGCAGCTGTGTGGAAACGCAACCGGATGGACTTTGGTTTAATATAGTCTGTGACCATTCGAATCTTCCGTTCGTTTGTGAGAAGCGACGTTAGTTGAATTCCACTGAATAATTTTTCACGCTAATGCTCTTATCGGGATCTTGAGGCACAGTTTCCTACTCATTGAAAACGAAAAACCCCAAGGCACCAGAATGGTTTTTCACAGTCATCAACTGGACACTAACCTAGTGATGCGATGAAAACGCATACCAAATCCTTCTCGATTTCATTTGATGATTCTGTCATATTATCGCTTGATAAGTATGTTTCGTTATGATCGAGTAGTTGCGGTGTGAGATACATGCATTCCTTGACCTCAATAAAGTCTGCGAGCTAAATCCTTCTGAGCAGAATAATATTTAATCCGAGAAACTGGAAGAGTTGACATCTGAGTATTGGTTTTCCAGCTGAGGAAACAACGACCACTATAACTACGACGACAACATTGTCGACCACACCAGCTCAGGGTGTCACCTGTCCAGACCCACACCACAACTATCTGAACAGCGGAACGGTATGATTGTTAAGTCAATGATTATTCAATTAACAGTTTCCCTTAAATCTTCTCAGTCTACTTTCATAGTAAGGACTAGATATGAGGCACAAAGTCGCATGAGTACAGCAAATTCAACAGAATGTTGTGCATATCCGGATTTTCCGTCCATTCCAGTGCCCTTCTTGCATAACCGCATTGTTCACTGGATATCAATATGTCATGAGGATTATTATTTCAGATTAGTTCACCCGGATTTCCGTTTTTTTTTGGCGGAAAAAAATTTTCGTGTCGATATCAGCTACTGGTTCCGGTTGGTTCCAGGGTCTTAATCACATTTGATGCCCTCTTGCTGGGCTCATCTGATTCAATTCGTATTTTCGAAGGTATTAGAAATGCGAGCTTGCTGTCCACGTAAGTGATTGACTGCAATCTCACTTTCAATGTTTACTCCTGCTTTTTGCGGTTCTCTTCCATGAATACTTTTCGCAGCAACTATTGAGCCTAGAGCGGCATGTATATTCGATTGAGGTATCTCATACCTTGGTAATCAGGACAAGTGAAATGTTCAATTGCAATTGGAGCAAAGCAAGCGATAGTGAGATGAACAAGCGGAAGCGACCGAAGCAAAAACGAAAGCATCGATAGTCTGATGCATTTGCTATGGATGAACAGGCTAGCGAAACGAGCACTCTCCTGGGAAGTTTGATCGCGCTGATGAGAGGAATCGCGTCACGATCATACGAATATCATTACTCCAGCGTGCTAATAAATTTGATAACCTCGTATCGGTTCAGGTCACGTGCGTCACAGTGCCACAATTTGAAAAGGAAATGAGAGCCGAAACCAGACATCGTCTTTAAACGACCATGAAAATGAGGTTATTTCAGCATCGGAAGTGACTTGACTGGACACCGCGTAACCGTCGCAACGAACACCAAAAATATGATGACCGTTTTGTACAATTCTGGGTCAGAAGGGATGAGTATGTGGGCGGCAAAATGGGGTCCTGCACCAGGTTCAAAACATCATTAACGAAAGCTTCATTTTATTTTGCAAATGACATCAACAAAACAGAAACTGAGAATCAAAAGCGACCAGATGATCAGATTGATATCCTGTGATGTATCGTTGCGATGCTTTAGATCTGCATGAACTTTTTTTGCAGAATTATTGTCAGATGATCTTACAATTAGCAAGGAAGCGTTTGAAAACGCTGAGTGCGTTTTACCAAGAGTATTTGTTGTCTGAAATATTTCACTGAATGCACATGAACGTTGAAAATGTTTAATAATTTTCAGAATCTTCAACTCGAGCAATGCCATCCCCCAAACCGATAACGACACTGTTATCCAAACCGACTACCCAGTCTACCACAAGCAAACCATCCACAACAACTGAAACAATGCCTTCCTCTGGTCCAATAACGATACCGTTAATCACACCGACTACCCAGTCCACCACAAGCAAACTATCCACAATAACTGAAACAATGCCTCCATCTGATCCGATAGCGACACCGTTAATCACACCGACTACCCAGTCCACCACAAGCAAACTATCCACAATAACTGAAACAATGCCTTCCTCTGATCCGATAACGACACCGTTAATCACACGGACTACCAATTCTACCACGACCAATCTATCCACAGCAGATCCAACAGCACCATCCTTCAAACCGATAGCGACACCGTTAACCACACCGAATACCAATTCTACCATCACCGATCTATCCACAACAAATGAAACAATGCCTTCATCTGGATCGATAACGACACCGTTAACCACACCGAATACCAATTCTACCATCATCAATCTATCCACAACAACTGAAACAATGCCTTCATCTGAACCGATAACGACACCGTTAGCCACACCAACTACTACACCTAACACATCTGTTCCAGTTACCACTCCGGCCATGTTCCAGTGTCCATCATCAATTATAGAATCCCCATCAGGCTTTGTAAGAATGCTCATTTTATTCCTTTATGACAAACAACATGATAAAACGGCAAAGATTTATGTAACCATCATTCTAGTTTCTATGCGACCACTCTGAGCGATGTATATTGAAGATCACTAGAGTGACACAAGAAATTGAGATTCTAGGCTGTGGAAATATTTGAGTACTTCATTTCAATAATCAATCTAGCAAAGAAGAATTTGCTTAACTAATCAGCCCAAAACTGACTATTTTTTGAACGTTTTTGCAGTTATCATCACCCGGATATCCTAATGGCTACCCAATAAACCTGGCTTGCTGGTATACCATAAAGACAAAAAGTGACAAACGTATTTGGGTGGAGTTCCTTGACGTTGACACTTTACACTGCTGCGACCTGATTCTGGTTTACAACGACGGATTAACTAATCAAGAGCCGACTACAATGTGAGTTTTGAATCCGGAAGGAAATCAGCCAAAAAAAAACTGTTCGCACGAAACATGTCGCCAACGGCATACAACATGAATTCAGTTGATTATTGAGCTGAATTCGCTGACTTCTCGAGTATCAGGTTTTCGAATGTTTAAAGGAGCACACGAAATAGTTCAGTAATCGTTGCCAACTAGATGTGATCAGTCTCTTAGCACCCTGGAATAATGTAAAAGGGAAGCAAAATTTGTGGTGAGATTCAATTTTAAACAAATCAACGTCATGAAATTTCTAGACTGTCAGGAAAAGTAGGCCCCACTTCTGTCGTCTCAACGAGAAATGAGCTCGCGATACTATTCACGAGTAGCGCGTTGCATTCCAGAAACTTGGCTGGATGGAGAGCCAGATTCAAAGAAATCCCAGGTGATCCATTCAGTAATTTCAAAATCCATTTGGATGAAAATTGCAAATTGCGTTTTTTTTTTCGATGAACTGTGTGCTACTCAATGATTATTGTTCACAAAGGTGTTATTCTTACCAACGAAAAAACACCTTGCTGAAGCCTTGGTTATTCCGGGATAGCTATCCGTCAAAGGTGAACTTCCCAGTGACTTTCTTATGGTAGAAATAATTAGTAATGAGCGTGAAATGACAATTATAAGTTGGAGTTTGACAATCTGTGGTGGAATGTTCAGGTTTTAAACAGCGTTTGCGAGTCGCAATATCCAACGCGAATGAATGCTCATCGGGTTGGTACCAAAATTCACAGCTATCGAACAAATGCCACAAAGTTTATGAGCAAAGAAAGCGATTCGACGAAGCAATGTCGCACTGTCAACAAAACGACGCGAAAGTTTCTAGATCTGAGAATGCGCTGGACAATTTCTATGCTGCAGGTAACTTTTCTTTTAATGCCTTCTGTTCAGCCCATTGTGATAGCGGTGAACGTTAGTTGATTCATTGATCGAGCACGAGATAGAAACGTAAAGAACCGATTATATGTCACATGTAATGTTCATTATAGAGTTAATGCGAAACGGTGAAGACACTCGTAAGCTGTTTTGGCTAGGACTAAGTTATGTTGAAGACAAGTGGAAGTGGGCGGATGGCAGGATTCTAAAATACAACAATTGGGCCAACGGTGAGTCATAAGACCTTGTACTGAACACTTGAATGAAGTTGCAAGAATTATTGTACAAAACTGACGGTACTCGCTCACATTTTTTGATGCAGTTCTGTTATGTGTTTCATCCCAAAAAGTAATACGACTGTACAGAGCCGAACTTCGCAGGCACGTAGCCGTTTGGTAGTTTCTTCTGGTCTCACAAAATTCAGCGCTCTCCCTTTCATAGGTTTTACAATTTTGAAATCGTCCGAATCATCCGATTCAAACCGTTCACCGGTCGCAATCACAAACCCACGTATTGTCCACCATACCTTATCCGGCTGGTACCCGGTCAATCTGCCTAAAGAAATTTTGGCTAGCGACAGTTTGCCTGAACACACACTGCCTGACGGACAGTTCGCCTAACGGACAGTTTGCCTATCTTACGGTTTTTAAATGGATATCTCGCCCAATAGGCAAACTGCTCCCTAGGCAAACTGTCCATCAGGCAAACTGTTCGTTAGGCAATGTGTCTTTAGGCAAACTGTCGTTAGGCAAAATGTCTTTAGGCAGGTTGACCAGTCACGATATGGCCATGTCAAAATGCGTCATTCTTTCAGATGAGCCAAATGTGTTGCGTGGCAAATGTGCGGCAATGGAGTCATGGACGGGCTACTGGAGATCAGTCGACTGTGCAGAGACATTTCCCTACATGTGTTCAAAGCGAGCTTGAACTTCAAACCCCCCATATCACACTAAGCCCAATTGTTAGCAACCACTGAAAATTCTCGATGCAATTAATCATTTACGCAATCATCCTGTTGTTCAATTATTTCGTTTCTGAATAATCAATTTATAAAATCAATGAATAAAAAACTTTTAAATTTGATAGTATCGGCGCATTAGTACACAACAACATATAATAATACAATAAGTGAAACAAATTGAAAAAACAAAACAAATTGAAATACAGATCATTAGCAAAATATGAGACCCATATGCCAATCCTCGTGAGAACAGAAATGAAAGTATAGAACGAAAGGAAAAATCGGGATATTTCTACGCATATTCATAAGTGCTTGGTGGAAGTTATTTATAGAGCCTTCGTGTTGAACCTAATGGTCATCATTCAAAAGTTTGTCAAGTGAGAGTGCTCAACTCTAATATAACTAGAATCAAAATGACTGAACAATGATTTCTTGGGAATCGTACAATTCATTTCAGCTTATTGTTACTCACTACATTGGAAAAACGTAGAAATCAAATTTAGCCATCGAAGAAGGTTTCTGAAGTCCTGTACGAAAAACAGTTAGTACGATGATGCAGAGGTGGTGCTTATTAGACGAAATACCCATTAAAAAACCGCAAGATAGGCAAGCTGTCCGTTAGGCAAAATGTCTTTAGGCGGACTGACCGGGTACCGTGCAACTTTAAGATCAATCATACGTGAGTGGTTCACAGAGAAATTCCCTGTTTTTGAGGTAGCGAAAAGATAATGAATGAGGTTGTAGCGCAAAATTCAGTTGAAGATATAGTCAACAGTGTTTCTTCAATCGAGTTTTCAATTGCTAAGGTTAAACTGGCCCCAAAGGCTACCGATCTGATAAAACGTAATGATTAAAACAGGCATAATTTCATTGATGATTATTCAAGGAATTCACAGAATTCCTCTGGGAATCAAATCGTAGAAACAGAAAGTTTAATGCCTCGATGAAAAGCAAGAAAAGATAATAACCGAACATTCACATTTTACAGATAATGTATAAAAATATCAGATGTAGACAAGAAGAAACTAAAAAAAGTAAAATGCCCGTTTGAAAGATGAATTATGGAACCTGCTGAGGTAAGGATGGTACAGTAGAACATCATCAACATCAGAATTCAATGGCATACCCATCCAGCTCAAAACGACTTATAGAAGATTCTCTCTCTATTTTGGGTTTTTGTTTGAACTAAAAACATTTCTTCCGAAAAAAATTTTTCTGACCACGCAATCGAGAAAAAACAGAATTCATTTGCCCCGTGCCGGATTTCAAAAATTCGAAACTATCACTGAGTTTATGATGAGCTTCATGCAATCTGCTTATCATCAATGTGCACCATATGATAGAGGGTAGAACAAATTTACCTCGGGACATGTTGCGGTGGGAACACAACAAAAATAACGCAATGAAGTTGCCAGAGTCAACCCATTTTCAACCAAATCGCAGGTGCACACTATCTTTAGCCACATGAAGATCACGGGATAATCGATTCTGAGCAGAGATGGCAATGAGAATGCACGAGGGAAGATTCAGATATCTAAATGATAAAAATTGCGAGCAAAAGCTACCGAATCGCTTCAGACCGCGAAAATTGCTCGCAATGAGAAAAGCAGCAGAAAAATGATCTACGAGAATCTGAGAAAGACACTTTGAGAGGATAGTATAATACAATTTATGAAATCCTCATGTAATAATTCGGGTGTTCCAATGCCCAATTCACGAAATCTTCTGCAATCACCGAAGCAGTAGAGTCATAAATAATCAAACTTTGTTGGTAGTAGCGATTGTGCTGAGATCACTTGCATCAACGACATAGTCATCGACCATATCATAAACCTGAACGGAGTGTCTTACTACTGATTCTGAATAGTCATCACATGGTAACATTCAAATAAAACAATGAGATATATACACCGATTTCGAGTACAACGACTGAATGTTCTGGGAGTTACACGACGTTAAAACTACGAAATGAAAATTCATTCCGCTCAAATTTTCTGAGAAATTTTGAGGATCGATTCGCGTGGTGAGGATCAGAATATACAGACTTGATAGATTCGCATGTTCGATATGCCCGAAAGGATAGGCGTGAAAGAAGGAGAAATTACCATAAAAAGAAGTTCTTTTAAATTTATTCGTTTGCTTCCACCCTCCGCTTCTGACACTGAGGTAGATGACTGAACGTTCTCATCCTTCAAACCTAAAACAAAAGCAAATACTTGACGATAATATGATAATGAACTCATAGTATGGCAGCAAAACATAATTTAATAACTTCATCGAATATAATGCAACAATCAAAGTCATTAAATGTGGGTATATGGGAACGAGGATATGGCTTGAAAAATGCTCAAGGTAGGTACAGATCCTATGTGCAAAGCACTGATTCCAATGAACTTAGGAAAGGATCAGCGGATCCGAGATAAGCAAGTTTCAGTAGCTGAAACAGAGATACCAGTTTTGAACGGACATTGTCGTTCTGAAAACTCGATATGATTCAAGAGCTCATATTGCATTAGGATAGCAATATGGACTGTATGAGGGACTCGGGTAAACCAACCACTTTTATTTTCCGATTGGCAGGCATACTTCCTCAAGGGAAATATCCATGCGTTAATTGTTATCTAAACAGAACTTCTTCATCGTTGCATCCAATACTTAATTGTCCATGTCTCGCTCATCAATGCATGGGTCATTATCATTGTCTAATGAGAACTAAAAAGATTGCCTGATACGTTTGCGCGAGGGTGTCTGGTGGTATCCGAATAATTTATCGGATCCAGAGATCGCAGTCTAATCGATCGACGATTAGTGACTGACTGTGGCCGATGCCCGAAAGTTGCGATTTCCTCAGCAATCACACTCTTCTTCCTTACTGCTCTGAAACTGATCGTTCATAGTACATTGATATTCTGATCGTTCATAGCGGATCGTCAGAAAAATGGAACTTTACACTACATGTTTTTTCTGCAACCCGAAGAACAATGAATGATTATTGAAGCTTCAGTTCAATATAAAACGAACATTTGCTTTTGAATGGCAACACTGAGTTTCCCAATTTGTTCCACGAATTTCGATCCGTTGAGATCATATTTCTTACTGCTACTCCTGGAATTCGTTTGTTCAGTCACTGAATTTTGGAGCTCCATGGCCATCAAAAAGTACTAGTTGGAGAGTGCTATCCAAACGGACAATCGAACTGACCAGTGGAAATCGTTGACGTTGTACAATAAACGAACATCACCACCCTTTGCCAAGCAATACAAATCCACCAATCTTCGACTGCTCAAATGAGGTAGCTGGAAGGAACATTGCGTTTACTGATTACAGTATGTAACGCATACAGTAATTGAGCTTATGTGTTTTTTCACAGTCGTTCTTCTTTTTTCTTCTGGTTTCAGTTCTTCAGGCCCAAATCACGCAATAGAATATATGCATAAATTCCAATTTGGACACTGTAATCCATACAGAACAACGAGAATGAGGGAAATGGGTCTGAAGAAGATGAAATGCTGATTATGATTTATGAATGGCTAATAATGAAATGCTTACAACTAGCTTCATCTGATTGATTGAAAAACGTCTGCGGCACTGCTGAAAGCCATTCTTAAATATTCTCATTGTTTTAGGGGAAATCTTACGCTGCACCAATTGCTGCAGTCTTTCCATCGCTTTCTCGATCGAATAATCGCTTTGATGCAAAATGTATAAGGCCTTGAACAATGGAATAATGATTGGAAACAGAAGTTTAAGAGCATTTCTTTTCATAAAAATTTATTGCTTCACGGAAAGGCGTCAGGTGGGATGATTGTGCGATGATCCGGACAACTCTGTTGTCGAAGTTAAACTGCGTACAGTTTCCGCGGATCTTAGCGTTTGCACGTCTATTTCACTGTTGAACGGCTAATGGGAAGCCGTGTTTCATGAGAATGGCAAATCTGTTCCCGAACATTCATTGATTGGTATTACTCGAAAAGCGCGGTCGCATCGTTTCAATGATTGGTTTTACTCGAAAAGTGCGGTTGCATTGTTGAATGAGTAGGGATTCAGACAACCGGTTTTTTACTTCGTATTATTCTAATGTGCAAATTATGGTTCGGTTGCCTTGAAAAGAAAAACTGATGACAAAATGGAAATAGAATCAACGCACTTCATCTTCAGCAATATCTCGTTCAGTTTTGATCCATTCCAAAAAATTTCTCAAATGATCCGGATTAACTGCCGCTGATGGACGCCAAACGCACTGATCACGATCAGCTTCATGGGGACTGTACACAGCCCAATCCAAATTGGCCTGATATTCATCGCCAATTCTTGCTTCAGCACAATTCGAACGAAGTTCTCAAAACAGATCGTATATATATAACAAGTACTGTCACTGACGTATCGATTTGGATTTTCAGCCCCGATTCAACAGTTGCATCACATCTCAATGCAGTTATGATAATACATCTGGTAGACAAGGAAAAGCCGCCATAATCTTTTTATTTATCAGTGAAGTCGTTCCAACCAAGGCAGTCATTGAATACTGATGACATGCCGCTGTGAAACCACCAAGCACTTGGTTCAACCAACAGATCACAATACTACTTACACTGCTCGTTAATTACGTAAGCAACTGATATCTGCACAGCAGCTAACGTCATAAAACTCCATTTTTCATTTTGAATTCATTTATGTTGGTAAATGTGTAAATAATACTCCCATACTTGGATCAAGCCTTGGTGAATGTCGGACAGGTTGATGTGATACACCATTTGCAGATTCGTTCATTACTGTACCAAATATAAAGAATGCTCTGACGGATTCGGCCAAATAATTTTCCGCTACCAACGCTGAAACCAACTTCGTGTTCACCGTCGAAACCACAAATAAATTGCAGGCCATGCCAACCAAGCTCAGGATTAAAAGTGAAGCTATTGGCCCAAGACTAAATCACAATAAAACGAAATTCGTACGGTCAAACAACCCTGCACTAGGTCGAAAAAATGTGTGACGATGAAATCAAAGAAGTGGTTGAATACGCCTACTTAGGACAGGTTGTGAATATGAGTCGAGATATGAAAATGGAAATTGGGAGAAGTATAAGATCTGGACGGAAGGCATTCAACTCAACCAAGGATTTGCCGAAATATGAAACAGGCAATTCCCTCCTTGCTCATATTTTTGATGGCACAGTTTCACCTGCATTACTACATGCGAGTGAAACGTGAGCTGCAACAAAGACAGAAGAGAACGCTTAATACTAACTAGTGATGTCTCCATACCACACTTATGGCAAATGTTCTGCTCTATTCTATGCCGCTTTCCAATGGTTCTGCTCTATTCCATCTTGCGCGCCTTCTTTTGGGACCTGTTCTATTCTATTCTCGCGTCCCTATTTTGAGAACCGTTCTATTGTATTCTATTTCGCTCCTATACGGTTCTATTCTACTCTATTCCGTGCGTCGCTCTTTTGACAACTGTTCTATTCTATTCCTTGGAACAGAATAGGAATTGAACAGGAATAGAACATTTTAATTGGAATGGGGACATCATTGAAGACAACAGAAAGAAGGATGAAAAAATACATGCTTTGAATATCGTTGAGGTAACACATCTGCTGCGAGGAGAATAGTGGAAGGAGTGGATTTAGAGACGTGGTCCTACAGTACGCTAGAATGAAGTTACGTTGGCAGGCCAAGCAGGAAGAACAACTGATGACACATGGACTCGAGCAGTTGCGGAGTGTTATCCAAGAAAAATGAAAGGACCACTCGCGAGACCTCCAAAAATATGGAAGGCGAAGGAACTTGGTAACACCTGGCGAAGGAAGGCAAGGTCAAGGACCGAACGGAAACGCAGTGTGGCCAAGAACGTTACAAACGTTTGACAACCTGGCCAATCCAGCTAAATGCTTGCATCACTTAAACATGATGCACAATCTAAGAGGGTGGTTATCAACCTTTGTTTTCGTTCACCCTTCCCCCCCCCCTAATAAAATTCACAATAACCTCGCACCCCTCAAAACAATAGTTTGAACGGAGCCCCGATTGTTCAAAACTTGGTCTGGCCAATAAAACGCGCGCAATTCGGGACAAAGATAGGGATGAAAAGAAGGCAACGTATAATGCGCGGGTAATATTAGCAATGATGATGATACGCGCGCTGCTTGCTTGTTTGCTTGTCCATTCACTCCGTATCTCTCACCTACAGCAGGGAGAGTTCGTATGTAGATTAGTGCACACCATTAGAGTTACACACATTTATGCGTTCATCGCTGCCCTATCCTACTTCAATTTATGGAAAAAAGATGTGTTGTCTCGCAACACAAGTGATATGAGCAGGCCTGATTTAGAAAAACTGATCTAAGTGATGGGGATCCTTCACTTGCAGTTTCGCCAACCTTCGAGAATGCAATCTAATGCAGCTCAATTTTCGGTTTCAGCTCGTTCTCCGACTCAGCGCTTCTGAAAACTTCGGCCCTCCATGTTCAAAATTTCGGCTCTAACTCCGAAGTACTCCAGACTAGTGATGGGATCCGACCGACAGTCGATCCCATCACTAGTCCGACAATTTCGGTCGGAGTTCCAACTGCCGAAATGACGAAATTCTAATTCGGTCGGATACCGACCGAACCACTCCGACAGTCGATCGGAATTCCGACTGTCGGAGTGACGAAATGCCAATTCGGTCGGATTCCGACCGACCGAAATTCCTGTCGGATCACATCACTATTCGGAACCAGAAAAATTACTTTCTTGTGGTTCCAGAGCCTGCGCATCACTGTTCATCATAACTTACTCATGCCGTTATACTACGGTAGTATCCAATAAATTTGCAAGGAACGCTTTCCTAAAACTATGCTCTCTCGCGCCTAAAGTTCGTTGGGAAACGGGGTCCCTGTCGGAGACCCCGACCGAGAGCAAATCCCAGAAAATTTTGTTCCACGATTTTTTGGACAGGGTCCCCTCCTCTATATAACGCCTCCCATCGAGGACCCCGCCCCGGCCAATTCGCTTCCCAATTTTTGTATGACTCCTCCCGGCCAATTCATTCCTGGACGAGAGGGAAGAACCTTTACATTAAAGGTTTCTGTGTGACGGGAATTTTAATATTTTGCTCCCGGGGTGAAACAGTCGTTTTTTCCATGAACTTTAATGCCGTACGGACGCAAATGTACACGCCGACGTATTTCAGCCCAATTTCAGCCCAATCTGCTCGCATCTAACTGCAATTCATTTCCATGTTTGGAACCATCTTTACGCTCAGACTTGTGCTTAGGCTTAGGTGAACAAAGGATGAAGAAACACATCCGAATTACTGCTACATCCTTGCGAATTATACACGCTGCCAGCGGTACCGATGCGCGGCAGCAATTATTAGGTACACACATTTGTAGCAACTTTAGATACGTTTAGGGTTTGCAAAATCCCGACGTTTTTTTCAATCCCGGGATCGAGCCATTATTGAAATATCGATGCGGGACATGTTCAAACACATTTTTTGGACCAATATGTTCATTATTAATCAGCAAGGAATTAATTCAATCAATTATTGAATAAATTCGAGGAACCAAAATTATTCAAATTTAAATTAATACTTCATATAATGTTGCTAATGATCATACCGTAAGAGCATACTGCATTTTCTATGCTAAGGGATCTTGTCGTCTCGGGTCTAAGCTAATAACAGTACACTTGCATGTGAATATGAAGTTCTTGATTCTTAAACACTTATTTGCAGTGCTTCAAGTTCATTTTCTCGCAGTATTAACACCAGGTGAATTCTGCCATTTCGGAAATTCCGATTTTTTACGAAAGAAATGCATCGCGTAAATTATATCATTTGAATTTTGAAAAAATTAAGAGTTCAGAGTTTATCCAAAAAGTGAAAAAAAATCCGCAATGGATTTTCATCGAACCATCGAGCACTTACATGCTTGATAATTTCGAAAATAATTCGAAAATGCAAATGCACTTGATAGTTAAGCTTAAGATCAACTTGAATGGAACAATTTCCCTCACTTCGACATTGAATTCTCACTATGAGGAACTCAGTGAGAATTAATGTACATTTCGATCGGATGAAAATGTTTCCAAATAGCGAAGTAAAAAGACTTGCAGTCCTTAGAACATGCAGTTGAATTAACAGATGGAATATTGAAGCCGAAAAAATCGCGTTGGAGGAACGACTCAAAATTTCGCTCCAATTTGTTGCTCTTGGTTCTTATTAGAAAATGTGATTATCTCCGCTAGTCTACATAGAAATGTATCCAGATGAGCGTAATATAAACCAATCAAGAGCAGAATAATCAGTTGAATATTTAATTGTTACGTAAAAGTTCATCGAGTGATCACGTCTGTCGTTGATCATGTCATTCGTCCAATCTGCGTCATTTCCTCAGCTATTCATCAATGATAGAGGGCAAACAGCAAAAATGACTGCATATGAATGAGATGGGAATGATTAAGGCTTGCTTCTAAATGAGCATACTATCAAAATTCAAGCAAATTGACATGTTTTATCAAATCCCGAAATCCCAGGACTTTTCAAAACTTAAATCCCGGGACCGGGATCAGAACTGAAATCTCGGGATAACATGCAAACCCTAGGTACGTTATCAAACCATGCTTCACTCGACCTACACCTTATCAGGAACGAATGCCCATCTCCTCTCCTTTTAATGCATCTCCTGCTGCATCACTCATCCGATTTCTAAGTTTTGTAGAAAAAAATGAAAAGCGGAGAAGGCTTGCTCACATTCGACACTTGTCGATGGGATCGTTTTGATCAAGTTGTGCAATTTTTGCATATTTGCGGCCTTCTCCTTCGTCGCTCGAAACAAATGCATTCCACAGATTACTCTGCTGTCCGCGTCATCATTCAGAGACAGTAGAATTTCTCAATACCAAGTTAACATTCATAAGGTTAACATTCAAATAGCGTTACTTTTTAATTCAAGAAAATTCATTCAGAGTTATGCTGAATTTCCCATTATTCACCAGCAAATCCTTCTTCTCTTGATTAACGTTTGATTTTGCAATTTTATAGTAATCCATCAACAAATTTCTGATAGGATTCGCAAAACAAGTTAGTCGAGTTTTATGGAAATTAAAAACCGCGTGAAGATATCACTTGTCACAAGAGTATTAGAGCCCAAACTATTAACAGAGCAAAGATGAGCGATCGTTTCATTCAGCGGAATAGCAGTTCATACAGGAATAGGTCTGGGGAATTTGGTAATAGGCGGGCCTCTTGTAGCCTCCGAGACATTTGCTTGTTTGCACAGTACTACGTTGTGGTTTGCTTTTAAACGCACAAGAAGTCCCTTCGTGGGCGACCCTTCTGCCTTTGTGTTGCATCAGGTAATTTACATTTCGCAGTTTCATTGTCTTTTTTGAAAAAGAAATATTCCTGGCACCAAGAATGACCACTGCTACTATCATATTTTTCATTATAACCGGACGAACGTGCATTATTGGAAGACATATTTCATTAACAGACTTAGAATACATGGCAACGCTGACAACACAAGAACGTGAAGATGAAGATTCAAACACAGATAGCTGATGACGCTTTGATCCTGGGTGGATGAGTTGGGAGCTAATTCTTTGATCTGTGTGTTGAGGGTGTTATTAGAATTTTTCTTATCAGTTTAAATCGACTTCATTTGTTCTGATGGTAGCGGTACAACTCAATTGGATGACTGTTGGTTTATAAAATTGCAGATAAGTTGTAAATTGTTGGAGAACGTGAGAATATGAATAAGTAGTGCAATTGCAAACTTTGAGGGAAGATTCGGAAGTAGCGAGTAGTGACAGCAAATAGTGGAGTAATTCTGCCAATCAACGTTTCAGTAAAAAACGTTCGCTACTTTTCCCGGCTACCGTCACTTTAGCGAAAATTTTTCGCTACATTTTCGTCGACAATAACAATAGTGCATTATTTTTAGCGGACCAGCAATAGCAGAGCTACTCTTTTTCAATAGCGTGGCGATCACTGCTTCCGCTTATTATTATTTATTTCCACTCTATTACTATTTGCAGTCCTTTCCTATTTTATTGGTATTTTTTCCGTTAATAAAGTCACCTCAATAAGGAACTGTCGTTGTTTCATCCATGCTCAATTCATCAGTTTTTCTCAGACCGGAATTATTTTTTGCCGCGATTTCTGCGACAACCGTGTCGTTGAAGAACTTTTCGGAAATATTTCTGGAGCGACGTTTGTTTGTCGCGACCTGACATCAGCCAATGTTTAGAAGAAATTGTTGCTTGGATCGTTTTATTTGGCACTAAGAACGCTACTACTATTTAAATCTGCATTTCTAAAACGAGCTCTACTACGATTCGCTCGTTCGCTGCCTAATTGCTGAGCCGATAAATATTTGACGGTGTGCCTCTGGTGCTGATTTCGGTGATGATTTATAATATCTACAGCAACACAAATGATCTTATGAGGTCAGCGCAAGAATGTGATCGACAGGTGGATGCAGTCAATTTTGCACTCGAAATTCATACCGTTCGTAGTCGATGGTTACGTGGAACACTTTTCTGCGGCCGATCTTTGATGCTCGCTGATAACACTTCTGATAATCATGGAACAGTTCCGATTGGAGATGGATATTTGAGCGAATGTTATCACATACATACACCTCTGAAATACTAATCATGAATTTATTGAGCATCATTCCACGCGCGAATTGCACATCCTGAAACAGAGGTGCTGAATTTCCGAGTCTGAAAATTCAATTGACTGTCAAAAAATGGCCCCACTTGAAAGTTGTCGATATAGTGTTAGTCGACATGAAACGATATATGTAGTGGAGCTCAACTGTAGTCATAATTAAGTTAACTTAATCGAACCCGAACTAGGATCGATTTGTGAACTGTGACTGATTCTCACATGAAGCTGCTTCGTGTTGCCAATCCCCTATTTCGTTCAGTTGAATGCTTAATACCAAACACATCTTCGCAAGGGTCAGCCTCATCGGAAGGATCACTCGTACCTCACCTCAAACTCTGGCTCATTCAAGGCGGCTAGGTCGTGACAATAAATCCGATACATATAATTACAGCTACATAGGTATCGTGTCGACCCTTTTCCGGTTACCATCTAGACACAACATGGTTTTGTCACTTTTCAGCTAGACCTTTCTTGTCGACAACTTCTCATCCGAGCTTTTTTATCGACACCTTGCCAGTGGCGTTGTTGCCAGTTTTCTGCCTGACCCATGTTTCTTTATCATTCGTCCATTCATCCCTCAATATTCCTCCAGTTCGGCTCTTTTTTATCGATAGTTCACCAAACTGATCTATGAACATCCATCAAGCACACTGATATCTCCGTGGATTTGGTTCCTTGCAATAACCACTAGTCATAACACGACGCCGTTTTAACTAGTCGACTTTGTTCAAGTTTCTTAACGATCCGAAACTGTTCAAAAAACATTACTACAGTAAAAATTACACGCTGTTTTCATTCTATGGGAGAGAAAAAAATGGATAAGATGCGGTATTTTAAACGAGAGTTTAGCAATGCCCAGTTATGAATGATTATAAAAATTAAAATAACGTATAATTCCGAATAAAACGCATCTCCTTAAGATGCACAAAGTTTGTCGTAAATCGATTGCAGTTAGTCAAAAACCGACGCTTGTCTTGAGCGCAAACAATGAAGAGTTGTGACGGAGAGAGATGATGACGGCAAGGAATGTGACATAATAATGTCACCATAGATCAATAAATAACCAAATAAATGCACATTGCGTACCTGTGATAAGATATTTATCCGCTACCAGCAATTCCTGAATTGAACTCTTTTAAAGATTTGAAATTTGCATACAACAGAAAGCATTCAACATGTTGTTCAGCTTGAAGAAATGTGATGATGAAAGGATTGGATTCGAATATTGATGTAAATTCGTTGGTCTAGTTGACTGGCATTCATCGACAAACAAAAACAACACAGAGTTTGAAATGCAATAACAAGCGCGCCCTAGATCAGCTGACTGACTGAATATAAATTATGCTCCGCTCGGCTATTGCAGCGCCTACGAGCAACCGACTTAAAAAAGAACGTTCTATGTGTAGAGGCGAAAAAGATTCCGAAAATACACGATTTATACATGGATGGATGTGTTTACGTCATTCACGTATTATATATACGCATTCAGAAACGAATACATTCGAAAGCGAAAATCATATCCGCAACATCGTTATCTGATCGCTTGTACAGCTTAAATATAAGACCATGAGTTACGTATGCAAACAGAGTGAACTTCATCGTTTGTGTGCATGCATGCATCTTTCATTATCATATCGATTTATCAGTGCTTTATTGAAATTATCTAATTGTAAGGCACAGAAAAGCCTCCTTAGTCTCGGTGTCTGGGAAATTGATGTCGATGAACTGAAGAAGTCATCGTTCGCAGTGGAGAAACATTAGCAGTACCGGCTTTCCAAAATTTTCTCTGTCTCAGTGATAACGTGATCTCGTTATTTTTTTTCCTCTTAGATGTTGAACGGAAATACTTCAGGGTATTCATAAAGGCCGAACAAATATGCAAAATGTATATTTTGGGGAAGCGAACTTTTCAACAGCATCAAATTATACATCAAAAATGTACTATCTGTTCATGCTGTCATTATGTGGAATATTGAAGGAATTTTTGCTTCTTTAGGAAGTAAATTTTAACACTGTCCTCGAACTTGAAAGTCTTCGGAAACATTTTCTAATATCGGTGTACCCGTAAAAGCTCTCATTTTGTCACTCGACTGACTTCCTTTTGGAAATCGATAGATTTTTTCCTGTGGCCACATACCAAACACCTTAGCAGTGGCGATCGAAGTTCGATTCTGTATGGCTCAGAAACGATCATTTGTTTTCGAATCCGCCTGGTGGCCGAATCAATTTTTTTGGTTTCTATCAGTGTTTATCAGAACAACAGCATATGAGCTTCACGGGCGGTAGCCTCCCACCCGAATTCCAGGATCATCGAGTTTCGGTGTTCACCAACCCACCTCTACCCTTCGCGTATCGCAGGAGTAGTTATACCTCATCCAAACATCAGACTTTCAGATGTTTTAAGCTAATCTCAACTGATGTTTTGAAAAAAAATTCAGCCCAAACAAATCATCATGATTCGAAAAATTCATCATAATTTTTCAATTTCTAAACATCAGAATTTTGTTTACGGATTCAAATTCTGTTAAACATTTGTTAATCGTCCTTGAAGGAACGAATATCATTCACCCACAACTCCAGAAGCATTTCAGTTATATTATTGAAATTCAGAGCATTAAGTACACCTGGAAGCGTCCAAATCTGTCGGAACCAAGCCATTTTTATTTTCTCTCTACGTGTCAGATTTCTCTAACAACAACATCGAAATTCCGCAATAATTTTCAGCCAATGCGGAATCGAGCACACGACATCCGAGCTGATCTTAAGGCCCAGTACACCACCGGCCCATTGCGCACTCCTTTCAGATCTATTGACGAACTCTCTTCTCTCAATGCTCATTATCTACTTATGCCGGCTTCTCGACAAAATGCTTTTCTTACTTTAGCCATGACAAAATCTATTCCGACAACAAAATGCCTTACTAATTGTTCAATTTTGTCAATGGACCTCTTCCTTTGTTCTGATGTGTAATGTTTTCATGTTACCTCTACATAAATCATTTCCGTAATCGTGTTGTTATTTCACGTTCAAGCCCTTCGCATTGCGTGAAACACGCAGCATTTAAGTCTAGATTCTAGACGGAGGAACTTTTTTCATTATGCTCATCAATAACAAGCTGCAATTGTATATGTACAAAAGATATTTAGAGGAAATTTTATTGAAATGAAATGAACACAGAAACTGATAAAATTACACAACTTTTAAAAAATCACATCATTATATCAAATAACAAAATAACACACAGCTGCATCATAGTAATATTGATATCACATTGATGTCGTGCTAACAGGTGAAATCACCGCTGTTCAAGCAGCTCTAAATTGAGCCACTCAGTTATATTGTCGACATTCACTTACAGTCGCAGTTTCCTTGGTGCATCATATCGCAGCAGTTTGTTGGTGCAGGTTTGCTGCAGTCGATCGTCACTTCAGTGGCGCCTTCCCCTAGGCCAACAAAAGCCGTTGCAATATAAATCTTAAAAATGCAACAGTGTAGATACCCTCATGAGTGTTCTGTTTAAAAAATGATGCAGTCACGACCATCATAATATGTACTTTCACTGCCCGACCGAATGTTCTGACAAAATATCGCAGTAACAGCAAGGAATTGAAATGAAAATGTAGAGCGCAGAAAGATTTCCTTTAAAGATTCTTTTAAAGGTTATTAAATGTAATCACAAGACAAACCTTCAAACTACCATCCTCGATAGGTTGACAGTCCAGCGAAGGTTCCTGCAAGGTGGAGAATTTTATTAATTGATTTATCTACACAATAATCAATTCGAATAAGTTAGCAATTCGAATAAGCTCGGTTAGCATACANGGTATCAGTGAGCTGCTGCTAACTCCAAAACTTTCATGCTGATAAATAAGTTGTTGACGGACCTCTTTGGAACAGTTGGATTGTGCCACAAGCATCTCAACTTTTATGTTGAGTCCGGCGACAACTTGTATTCGAGCACCCAGCACTTTGACCGGTACAAGCAAGAATATGCTGTTTGATTGATTGTTGATCGTCCCCATTATATCCGGGATAACATTCTAAAATTTCAATACTTTCTAAGTATCTATAATATTGCGGTGTTTTGGAAGCGTAAGCTGATCTTATGGCTATTGCACCGGACTATTAGCTAGTACATCGCAATGGTTTGCGACATAGTGATAGCAGTAAAATCTGATTGCAGTAAATGCTCACATTCACTGCAATCCGGAGATTAGATGTTATCCTAACTTATTAAATTCCACTTGGGATGTCCTGCACTAAAGCTCCCTCCTCATGCTTTATTCGAAGAATGCGACTTTCTATTGGATCTCATTTCCAATAGTGCACCTACCGACTAATCGAAACCATTTAACCAGAGTGAATTGGTTGAATGAGAAGTTTCCGAAACATTTCTATCATATCGATTCGTTGCATTGTCCAATGGTTCCTTGAACTGTCTAACAGAATAACAGAAACCACACATCGGCAGTAATTTGGAAGTTACCTGAACTCTTTGATCGTTTGGATCGACGTTCTCGTATCCGCCTGCGAGCCCACCAATAACAGGTGGTAACGAACAATCCGGCTCGGGTTGAGGAGGTTCAGAAGGATATGCAGAAACGAAGACATTGAAAGATACCAATAGCATCACGAGCAGAAGCATGGTGATCACTTGTTGCCAACGAGAGCGGGTAAAACTTGAAGACCTGTGGAAATGTACCGTCAAATATCTATCGAAACAAATTTCTGAATGATGCCATCTAAATGACAGCAGCACTTCAGCGAACGACTCTAACAATTCAGCAACACGCAAGTTTTGCTACATAACTCTGGAATCATAATCGAATTTGTTGATGGGCAGCTCTATTTCAAGGTCTTCGCTCAGGAATACCCAAATNAATGATAAAATTCACTAATGATAGCAACCCAAATGAAAACAATGCAGATTTTTCACAGCAAACTTTTCAATAGCAATCCACTGTCCCATGAATCCCCAAATCGAGGGAATGCCATTTTTGCATGAAACACCAGCTGGCTCCTCGAAACACGATATTCGCAACCAATACAAACGATTGGAACCGAAAATTCATAACCCCGAAATGCCGTTCCATCATGCCTCATAAACAATCCTCAAAAACACCTTAATCTATCGTCATTCGCCTAGGCGAATTATCCGAATCGTCGAGAAATGAAGCCGAACAAATCGAATTGTACTGATAATCAGAGCATCTCAGAGCCACAGCAAGTGAGCAGAAAGAATTACGATTTAAGCGTTGACAGCTCTCCTTTTATGCGCATTACTGGCGGTATTAGAACGAAGTGAAATTCAATGTGGTAGGCAGGTCGAAAAGTTTTAGATCACGTTCCTCTGAAATGCGATCACTTGTCAACGGTACGTTTGTAATCTCAAAGGGATATTGCGGATGAATGAGATTAATGTTTTCGGTTTTATTCCACTCACGAATTTGTATTTGTTCCATTTGACACTAATTCCACATGACAAAATCAGATATTAGAACCTGATAAATTTCACTGACTATCTGGTCAGTTCGCTTCCTTTCTTGCAAGGAATTCAATGCAGTGAGAAGTCAAAAGCAATCATTTTTTCACCATTTATAACTCATTTGCAATGCTGCTCAAATGGATGACGCATTTGTTTGTGTACAAACGCAAAACTACTTATCGGTTAGTCCAAAACCTCCGAAGAGAGCAAAAATGAAAATCAACAAATTTTGAGCACCAACGTTGGGCAAAAAATGCTCTTATCACTTAAACTCTGCTTATATTGAACTTATCATTTGCTCATGTGACAAAATTGAACGTGTAAACATCATATGATTCGGATGCCATGTGTCCTTTTGTGCTATGCAAAACTGGCTGAGTGTTTTTCAATATTCTCATAGAATTCTGATTTTGGAACTTATGATGATAATATTACATTCATTACGAACTTTTCCGGAAAATGAGCAGAAAAAATTATGATCTAAGCGTTGACAGCTCTCTTTTTATATGTATTACTGGCGGCATTAGAACGAAGCGAAATTCAATTTGGTAGGTAGATCGAAAAGTTTTAGATCACGTTCCTCTGAAATGCAGACATAATATTGTTTGATGTTATCCTATTTCGACAATTTCACATAAAACAATTGTGATCAGTGGGCAACGAAATGAGCAATGATTTTTGATCCATTATTCATATACGTGAAAACAGAATTTTTACAGAAATTTATTGCTTAGAAAAACATCATTGCACACATTTGTTTGTATCGGATAATGCTTTCACAAGAACAAAAAATACATGAACATTTTCGACTTATACACTGGAACGGTCATTTGTTCCGGATTCTGAAGAATCTCAAGCCTCAGTTTTGAAAAGGATGCCGTGACGACAATAAATAATCCGTTTCGCTCCGAAAAAATGTGCTGATTAGTGACTGTGTCAAGCGGTTTTTTCAACAGAGTCGCATGTGCGCAAAATTTAGACAAGCGTCGCAAATTTAATGGCAATGCCTTGCAGTCAAAGTCTTTGCTATGCATTCGCGCAGATATTTCCGTAGAAAGAGCTCCTTGTTGCAGTGCGGAGCCAAGCAATCTTCGAACTCTTTTACTGCAACGCTTCAAGCAGTGAACAGTTTGATACAATAAGCTTTAGAATTTATTTTTGGAATCAAAATTTTATGCAGCTTGATTTCAGAACGGAGTTCGGCTTTTCATGGGGTGGAACTTATGGTTCACAGAATTTCATTTGTTCCTTATAAATCATTCTCACACGAAATAGCGAAATATACTTTATGTGAACGTGAATTTTGAAAGAAGAACACAAAGGAAAAGGAATGAAGCGTGCACAACATTAACTCAAAATCGACCACTTGACAAATCACACAATGAAAGCTGACGGTAAGGCAACATTTGCAATTTGAAACGGTAAAATATTTTGGTTTGCTTCGAATGTCCTCTCAACTGCTGGAATTATGCTGTTCGAAGAATATAGCAAAATTTCCGTCTAGTTCATTGACTTCTTTGTATTCGACAATTTTCCATTTATCTGATGGTACCCCACGCACCATTGCTGACAATCCTTAAAATTAGGTGAACATTAGGTGAACAAAACAAAACTAAACAACAAAATGTCAAATGCATTTAAATGGCAAAAGAATGTTAGCTGAAGTGGCGAATTTCCTTTTCGCATTATAGAATAATGTTTATGAGGAAAACGTTTTGTTGCTTTCAAGCAAGATTTTAGCTCAGATTGCTGCAATTTTTCAATGCTTCACGCGATACTGATAGCGATCATGAAGAATTCACACGTCTGATCACCTGCAACTTGAGCATCGTTTGGTCGATAAAGTATCAACGTTGGTAAGTTGAGCTTCCAAGCGACACCCAGCTCGAAACCGACGCCTAACGATGGAACGGTACATTCGGCAACAACAACTGTAATCAGGCTAAAAGTATTGGCAGTTTTCAGCGTTCCCAATTCGATAATCTTAAGAATTTCCGAAAATTTTTGGAGTGCATAAATTAATCAATCGAAATTTCTTCAATTAGCTCAGCGATCTTCCTGAATGTTCATCTGAAAATTGAATGAATTTCATTTGGAACTTCACAACTTCTCTTACTATTAGGTTCCCGTTATCGGTTACATAAGTTGAATCGGAAGGAACACCGAAGCATTTCTTCGTATACTGACGCCTAATTCGATGAAGTTATTTGAACCGTTTTCTGCTCAACCGCAGATGTATCTGTGGTGATCATTTTTGCACAATTCGCTAACTTTCGATGAGGAATCATGAACTAAACAAGGCCACAACAAACCATCTGCTGAATGCAACCAGTCCAGATCAGTTTCAAAAATCCTTTTATCTTTGTTGATGTCTCCTTGACCGCTAGCGAAGTCTGAAAATAAACGACACTACGCAATCACTCAGGAAAGAAACATCTGTCTCTTGGAATCTGCTTGAATATTTATCTGTTGGCATTATAAACTCTGAAAATATGACACCAGATAAATGCAAAAGGCAAATGGTAAATGTATATGCCATAAAAATAATCACCGCTGAGATGAGCCGCATTCCATGGTTGGTCAAGACCAATATGTTCGGTTAATACTTTGCCGTAGGTACCGAGTTTTTCGATTATAGCCCGGTAAAGTGGTGCATCCGAACGACCCGCACGAATGCTACCGCAGAAGTAGATTTTCATCACTAACCTTTCGAATCCACGATCGATTTCTTTCCTTCCTGAATTTTTTTTGTCACTACACAAAGGATTATCTGTGGACCGTAAATAAGCAAACCGACACATTGCATAACACAAATTCAAGATCTCTTCAATATGATCAAAATCATTGGATGCTTTGGGCGAATAATTCGCATTTGTATTCCTTTTAAGAGAATTGCATTGAATCAGTCAGAGTTCCGGGAACCCAACATATATCACACAATGTTAATCAATCACTAGGCGATAACTTTCAATTATTTTCCAGAATAAAAAAAGATTTTTTAACAGTAAAAAACAGCAGAACTATGATTCGCTTTGATCGCATACACTGGAACACTAAGAAGCTTATAAATCAATGCGAAAAGCAGTTCAATCCATGAATGATTCGAATGCATGATTTCTTAAATACTTACTCGTCAGGTGCTCGTTTACATAGGCTTTTCATTTGTTCAGAATGCGCATTTATTTCAATCAAAAAATCCGCTGATGTTTCCTCACATTAGTAATGGAAACTAAAAACAATTGTGAGTTTAGTGCGCATTCCATTGAGAATATTCGCTTACATTTAGCCGTATTAGGTAAACATCAACGTTTATTGCTATTAATTAAAAACTTCTCCGCGCAAGAGACACAAGTAAGTGCTATAAAAATTTAATGTTAGGACTTATGAAATCTGTTCACACTTTCAAATTTTGAAATATCTCATTTGAATGCAATCAGGAGTTCACTGCAGAACAGAATTTCGAATAGTATATGAATACATTTGAATTATACGAAGAAATTCGCAGTTTCGATCTAGTACGCAAAGAATTGTCTCGTTTTTTTTCGAATGAGATGTTGAAATTTCCGTGATAAGGAAGGGATCACGCTTTTCCAAGCGCAAAGAACAAGTAAAACTATGATGCTTAAATTTTAAAAAAATGTGGTGGATATGCTAACATGAGGGAGATCATAGAAGTAAACCCTGAGTGAGCAAAACGATTGCATAGAGTCTGTTGTATATACGGACAGATCAATTACAAGATAGTAATCGATTGAATCAATCACTGCTAGTGATCAATGATCAATCACTTAAAATTTATTCGTTCTTTCAGGGTTTGGCATCAGAGCAAACTATGACGTATAAGAACGCAGTTGGTGTAATGCAAATTTAACGACGCATAGATAAGAGTGTGATTTCATGCAATGTTCACTTTGCTGAACCAAATCATTTTCAAGCTCGGAGGGCTGGAAAAAAGAGCGATTAAGGATTTTCTGGCCTAGCTTTGTTGTGATTCTGAAAAACGTTTCGGAACTTATGACTCGGTCTGTTCACGTTTCGGAGTCACAGAGATCTTTTGAAGGTGGAAGTCCAAGATTGAGCACTGAATTTTCGATTCTTCAAGCACAAACATCCACGAATATAACAACAAATTTGTAACAGCACTTCTGCAGTCTCAATCAGAGGTCGTATATGAGTGGAGAATGTCACTCAGGAACGATTCGCCGTTCGATGCTAACATTAGCAAACTGATCCATTAAACCATCCTTCACACATTGTTTATGGTGCAATTTCATTTTGGTGAAATTGCATTTTCAGAGTTATTCTCATCTGATGAGCAGCTTTTGATTAATCGTTCCATGAAGTCAGCTTCTGAATTGATCTGAAGGAAACTGTCATTCAAGAAGAACGTTTTGTGTGTCATGAATTTCAACTGATGCACTGCAAAGAAGTCATCTGTGTTGATGTGTTTTGATGAGAATCTAAGACAACCAATTGTCTGGTGTAAACAGGAAATGGATCACAGCGACCACAGCACTCTTCATTAGCTATATGCCAAGAAAGCATTCGGTCACGTCAAAACTAAATGCAATCCTCAAAATTATGCAATTTATGCAATTTTATGCAGTTTTCAAAGTCAACCTGACATTTCATGGTAGCGATTTCCGCTTGACGAGCATCACGAAGCAAGAAACTAAATCTCAAACCTAATTGAGCAAGTTTAAAATGAAATTTGCTGCAAAATGAAATTTCAAAAAATGAAAATTCGTTGTGAGTGCAGTCAAAGTGCATTGAAAATTTTCTTTTCAATGAAAAAAAGCATCGAATTCACGTGACACGATTGAAGGCAGTAAAATGTTAGTGTGAGAGAACTTTGACGATGATATAATTGGATTCATTTAGCACAACGAACGTTATGAATGTGTGCTTATTGACGCCTGAGGTGTGTTCGTTGATAGATATGCTCTTGAATGAATAAACTGTTAATGAATTGGGAAAAAATTCTCGTCCCTTTTAGCAAAAAGCGTTGGAAAACGAAGCAAACATTTTGAAACTAATTGTTGCAATGGCAAAACCAATTTAGACTACCATCTGAAGATGCGGCAGCGCACATTGCATTTCATTTAGTCAGTTGTGCATTCATTCCATTCGTTGCCGACGTGTTTTACGATTCATTATCGTGCCAATGTTTTTTTTAAACTTTAGTGCTTTTTAGTGTTTTTATGAAACTTTAGTGCTGAATAAATAAGCGAATTTTTAATTAAAATGACCAAGTTATTGTGCATTCCGCTTCTTTGCTCCATAGAAATTTAATTCGATCTTCCATTTCTTACACACCCCATTGTTTCCGCTTGCTGACCTTCGTTATTGCTCCATACAGTTACATATTGCCTCTAAATGCATATTTTTTGATCAGTGGAAGCGTCATCGATTCTGAATTTCACGTTAGCCTCAACTATCATTACGGCATGACATCATCAAGTGGTAGGATGAGTCGAAGAATAACCAGGAATCTTTCAGCCGATGCGGGTAGCCCTTTCAAACCTACAACGACTATACTGACCATTGCCTGGTGAACTTCATTTTCGTGCACCAGCGAAGAGAACAGAACAAAATGGCTTGCCAAAAGTGTGGATCAAAAACAGTACTGTATTGATCGTGCCTGAAGAAACAATCAAGAACTGAGAATGTTCCATTTCGATGACAATAAAAGCTCTCGATTCATGATTTAGACTCATTACATCTGATTTCAATTCCATTCGTATTCGCTTTATCCGTCAGTCATACCCATCTGCAAACTTGCAGCTGCACTCATTTAAATGAGTGAGTGCAAACAGTATAAATTGTTCGCCTTCTAAAGTCATAAATGTCACGATGCATGAACAGTGCAAATTCACGTGATGCAAACCACTTGTCATGAAGTATTGGTGTTATTCAAGTGAACAAATATTGCCGTTTCTCTACGGTACTATGGTCTTTATTTGAATATCACATGTGATGGGATCGCTTGTGGTTCTCGAAATTATTAAGGGCGACTGTTGGCTACAGAGGGTCCCACTCACTACTGAATAAATTTTCAGTTCATTTACTTTACGATGAACGCAATCATTTTGGATTTTTTATCATGCATATTCCATGAGGAATGTATGTATGTATTATGCAACAATGACAATTTCTCATTCTGCAGGCGGCTTACGCTTCGAGTTATACATATACAGATTGATTGTGAGAATTACTGGAGATTCTGATACCGATTGGGCATTGCAGAATCCTCCAGTAACATGTAGGATAGCAGGCTCATGTTCGCGTTGTTCCATTGAAATCAATAACATCCCTAATTCTCAGTGGAACTAATAATTTGGTAGTTTTCGTTCTTGGGGTCATTATGTGTGATCGGAAGTTCTTGATGAGTACTTATTCTTCATTGCACTGTATATAGTGGTTGCAGTGCTATTTTCAGGCATCCACGAATAACCTCATGCAGCTTGAGGCTTGGACATGCTTACATGAAACTGAATTTTGTTATCATATTTTGAATAAATCTCATGCTAGAATCTGAAGCCATTCGTTCGAAAGACATATGGTTAAATCTTCAGAAGGAATGGACATCTCCGAATCGCATGCTCCTACTTTGAGTGGCCGAATCAAAAATGCAAGAGAATGTATAGTAAGAAAAAAATTTGCAATCTAAAAAAGTTGAACAGCGACGCTTTTCATATCGAATTTGTTAGTAAACGACTTTTTTCTTCATATCCGACCGCAACTAAAAGCTTCTTTTGTAGATTTGCGATTCACAATTAAATAAAGTCGGCAATTCGAATATCAAAAATTTTTTTTCGTAAAGAAAAATCAATATAAATCTGCTTAGTCGTCAACAGGAGGTAACGAAAAGTAAGCGGACAATCGCTATGATCAATTGTTAGTTAAACAAATATTTATCATTCAACTTGCACTCATAGTCAGATCTAGCCGANGAGGCGGATGTGCAGAAAACCAAGGCGTCATACAACTCATCTCATGCTGTTATCCCGATAAAGATCTGTGTGCCTATTGGTCCATTTCTCAATCAAATCTTCTGTTCCTGTGAGCTTTATCTCAGTTACATCCGATAAGCAAATAATATCCGCAACTTAATTTCATTTACCATTGTTCCTTCAATAGCAAGTTGCTTTCAAAAAACTACAAGCCAACCATCTCATTTCATACTGACGCGGAACTGATGCCATCTCTATAAACCAAACAAATAGAATTCTATTTTTATCATACCTAGGATCGCATCATTCGCACCAACAAAAAAATATATTTGATGGCGATTGTATGTTTTCGGTGCTTCAGAAAATGATTGTCGATAGCGAATTACTTCGGCTAAGATAGTGATGAGCCTCAGCGATGAAGTTCACTTACTCTTTTTCATGTGACGTATAAGGAATTGAAATTGAAAACGAATGAGCAGAAGACTAACCGTCGTTGGCACTTATCTTTTTCAAACACTTCATTGAACACATAGTTAATCGCTCGTTCACTTTCATTCTGANTGCATACGTCTTCACTGGTCAATCGAATTGCTAGATTTTATACCTTGTTGTTGGTAGGACTTCGTTTTCATTCGAGATGAGGTTATTTTGATGACGTTCACGTAACTGTAGATTAACCAAATGATGCGACAGCTTTGTTGGTCGTTGCTCAAAACGATCACAACGTTCGTGACCGAAAGTCACGCAGGTGAAATTGTTTTGTGCCGCAATAATCGTGTCTGGGACGGCATAGGACGACCATAGAAGGACGGATTCTGAGGAACACCTCTGAATCACGTCAGAATTCATCAAT